CATATTTGGAGTTGGGGTCTCTTATTCTAGCGGTTTATGAAGCCAGCTTTACATGCTGGAGGTCGCCGGTTCGATCCCGGCAGAGACCAAATCCTTTTTTTTTCTTTTTTTAAATATGTAGTGACCAGCAGAATTTTGTCAATGTTCTACAATGCCGACTTCCAGCTTGGGTATCTTCTCCCACACACCTTCTATTGTTCAGATGTTAATTTTTTTGGATGGCCACGGGTCAGTGCTATGATAATTAAATTTTTGGTGGAACACCATTTACTATAAGTTATTTTATATGCATTGTTACAAAAAAAGAATACGGATAGAATATTTCCTTAAAAAAAAGACTTCAAGACGAAGTTTAATTCTGAAGAAACTGGGAAAAATAGGGAAGAGGAAAGGCTAGACTTTTTATAGTCGCTACGTTTTGTGTGGAAGGTTATTGCACAGGTTCTCTTGTGCGAGATATCAATGTGGTGTCCTAGATGAAACAACAGATGAGGTGGATGGAACATCGTGGTTCATGTGACTTGCAACAGCATTTATGTTATTTCTTAATACATCTTTATTTTTAAAATTATCTACTAAAAATCGCCAATAGTTCATCGATCCTTCCTAGGACCCTTAAACTACCTTAACTAAATCCGATGTAAGAGTAACATGCGGCATGCATTCTTTTGGAGTAAAGTGGAACTGTGTGCTTTGCACTTGCATCCACAATTTGCTCTAATATTTTGGTATTTACTCATAATTTTTGTTACAAGGATTAATTTAGTTAATAAATTCTCAAAACACGAGCAGAAAACTCCCCGATCTCCAGCCTATTGTCAGTCGGGTAAACATATAAATACTAAAACTGAGGCTATGAGGGTCAGGCACATCTGTGCAAATGTCCAAGTAGCTAAAGACTATCCAAAGTGTAAAGCGGGAAATTTTAGTCAATAAATTCTTAAACACAGAGAAGAAACTCCCCGATTCCCAGCCTAGTGCCAGACAGGTGAACATATAAATACTATAAAACTGAAACTATGATTGAAGGCTGCAACTATCACCTATAATGCCCTAATCCGTTAGCGCTCATATGTGACATTCACCCCTTCTTGGGACAAGAACATCAAGCTCCTGATCGATTTCCTTAATACAAACCATTCAAGCGTTTGTACGTACAAAGCTTTGACTGAGCATTAGTTAAACTACTCTCAGGCTCCCACGTACAGTGTGACTCATCGTAACCCGTCCAGTCCACCAAGAACCGATGGCGAAGTCCAGATCCCTTATGTGCTATGATCCGCTTCACCTCATACTCAAGATGTTCATCAATCTCGACTGGCGGCGGTGGATCTGGACGCCTAAACTCAAACT